CAACCGACATAGAATGCGCCAAACCGCCCCAGCGGGGCCCGACACCTGCTTCCATTGAGGCTCACCCCCAAGCCTAGCGCGCTGCGAGTCGAATGCCTGCCCCAGGACTGCAAGGGGGACTGCTGGGTCCGAAGCCAGTTGCGCCCATGAACACAGGGGCCTCGATGCTGCAAATAATTCTGGATGTTCGCGACGACGGGACACCAACTGCAACGCCAATCACGTGGACGTGCCTGGAGGGGTCTCATTCCAGCCAACTCTCGTCATTTTCATCATGGACCTGAGCAGCCTGTGAGATGCGCCAACAAAATACGAATGCCATGCAGCATCGCCGGGCTCAATGAAGGCTGTGCAGTTGCTCTGCCAATGCGCGGCAGTCCAGCAAGCCTCTCGAATCTCGGGAATCTGCGCCTCAACTTCTGAATTCGCTCCCTGGCCGACGTAAATTGCAGCTCGGCTCCCCATTTCGTTTCAAGCTCAAGAACCTCCAGAACAGAAGTGGCCCGAAACCCATAATGCCCGACCAGGTGCGACACCTTGGCAACGACTCAAGGGGCAGAAGACAGGATCTTGGCTTTGTCTCGGGCAATCGGAAAGTCCGAGGCACGAATGACGGCCGCGAGGCGTTTAATTATTCGAACGGAGGCGTATATGGCGCCCTGCTTGGTGGCAACTACCTGCAAGGTGATGTCGCCCGCGTCGGTGTCCAGCGGGCGGTGCGCCGCGTCTCCATCAAAGGCTCGCTCAAACACCAACTGTAGAAGAAACATTGCCACTGTGCCACCAGGCAAGACTCCTCGTTGCGCTCGTACATCGCATGAGTATGACGAGCCCCACCGTATCCTCCGCGGCGCATAAAACATGGCCATGCATCGGCGTGGTAGGGCAGTTGGGAATTCCATGCCCTGCGCAGCCTTCGGAACTCTATTCCAGCACACCCAATCGAAACATTTACTGACATCAACCAGGGCAGTCACTGTAGCGGTTCCAGAGGCTCCAGAATTCGCCTCAGAATGAGGCATCGCTCTGGCTGCTTCGTGCACGCGCGATGCAGGGATGGCAGCAATGCTATCAGGCGAAAGCCGCCTTGGGGACTCGCGAGCAGCATGGCGTGGACCGATAGCATCGCCGAACGCCACCTCGCCCGCGATTCGGCAGCCCAAGATGTAGAGAACCGAAGCGAACATGGAGTCCGACATCAAAGATCAAGCCAGCGGAGGAGATCCATCGCGTCCCATGCCGGCGCGCCATCGGAGAGTCTTGGATGCGCGTCTTACCTGATCAACCGACGGGACTCGCAACGCTGACGGTGGATGCCGAGCTATATCCTGCAAGAACGTCTGGATCTGCTTCGTCCATAAAGGCTGCATAATGTCCAACGTCCTCGTCCTCTCGACTTGACTCACCCTGGTACTGAGAAGGATCTGCAGGCCGTGCAACAGGTGCACCCTCCCAAAGGCCATGCCGCATGTCTATCTGACTGTCTGCGATTGCCTGGGGTCGCTTAGTGATATCACCATGTCGCTGGACCTGACTGTGCACCCGCGTCCTATGCGCGTAAGATGAAACGAAGGTGCAGGCCCGGACGCGAAAGCCTCCCTCGCCCACTCGTGAAAGGAAGCAACCCGTCCCCGTGCCGCTTCTCTCTCCTGTGGCTCAGCCATCATCATGAGGTACGCAGCAAAAGCTTCCAACTGCATGGGCGCGACGTGGGGCGGTTGGGCGTTGGCCCCACGTATGAGCGGCCACGCCTGATCCAATAGTAGGTGAGCCTCCTGCGCGCGCACGTCCTGTAGACGTTCGGGTCGTAGGGGTCGACCCAAATGGAGCCGGCGAGCATCCCAGACAATGCCACTCGGCATCTGGAGCGAGACGTCCCGCAGGGCGAGCGCAACGGCGCGCAAGTAGCGCGGCTCGCTGCCTGCCGCGGGCCTGGGGCCTCGACGAGGACCGCCAGTGGGCCCCCAGACGTACTTCGTGCCCGATGCTCTGCCCACGTAGGAGTCTGGCCGATCCAGCTGATATATGCGGGCCAGATCTCTCTCCATGTTGGAGACCAGAGACGCGCATGGATCATCGAGTCTCTGCTGCGCCTGGGCCGCGGCGGCGGGGGCCCCCGTAGGCGCCAGCCTCAATAATGCCAAGGCGACCCCTCTCGGGCGGGGGCCCAGCGAGAGGATGGGCGCCCATCGCCGACGGAGACGCTCGGGGGAATGACCTCGGGGCTGCGACCATTGGCTGTCGAAGGCTTCGAGGGTGCGCCTCCAGATCACATCGAACGGGGCGGCGTGGACGAGCGGGCCAAGCCACCTGGATGCGCGGGTTCTGTAAAGCCGCGCGTGCATCATCCTTGGAGGCAATCCAATAGTCAATCATCGAACAGTTCCCAGCTGATGACCTGCATGCGCCTTCTCCTCGACAGTGAAGCGGCGCGCCCGACAAGACCTCAGCCAGCCCCGTCTCCACGCACCCCTTCGGAGAAAGATTCCAATCGCCTCCCAGCAAGAAAGGCAGCCCAAATAATTTCGGGTATTCAGCCAGTCGATCGCACCGTTGCAGATTAACCGGCACGTGCCCCTTAGCTGACTCAATGTAGACTGATCCGCGAAGGAAGCCTCCAGGTATCCCCGCGTTCACATGAACTACCACAGACCACGAGCGCATGACCTCAAAACCTCGGTCTCCCCCAGGCCTACTAATCAACGTAGTGGGCACGTGAAACCTCTCAACAATTGCCACGCCCGCGCTTGGCATTCCCGTGGGGGGCCTGCGGCAGGGAGAGATATAGGGCGACCGGCCCAGAGAAATAGCCCAACACCGAGCCTTGTCCAGAAGTTCTCCATCCAGTCGCAGTTCCTGCGCCATCACAATCTGAGCATTCACCGCACCTGCGGCCAAAAACGCTTAACACGTAGTCCAGCAACTGCCGTTGTAGGTGACCAGCCCGATTGCTTTGCGTCGAGAATCTCGCGCCGCTCGGCGTCTAACTGCCATTGCACTCTCATGTTGCCGCTTCGACCGACATGCCTTCTGCTCCTCCTGTAATGCGAAACGCCCCGCCGATCCGCGGCGCTCCTGCCTGCTGCCCCTCCGTCGGCGCGGCGACTGGGGCGGTGGCTAGGGGCAGCGGCGGGCCACCAGCTGCAGGGGCCGCGGGGGCCAGCGGCCGCGCCAGCTGCTGGGCGAGCGACTCCAAGAGTTTCGCGCCCAGCACGTCTCGACTGGCCCCGCCTTGGACTGCCAGGTGCGCCTGCGCAAAGAGGCCCTGGAAGTGCGCGAGCGTCTGGCTGGAGCGACATGCTGCTGTCCCGCTGCGCGAGCTGTCGCCGCCGCCGCTGCTGCGGCCACCGCTGCCTGGGCCTGCGCGACCTCCGCCTGGAACGCCGACACGTCCGTGGCCAGGCTCTGCAAGCGACGCCGTCCCTCGTCCAGTTTCGTCTGGAAGTCAGTGACCTTCTGCTGCTGAGTCTCATGCTCCGCCTCCTTCGCTGCAAGCCTATCTTTGGCGCTGCGCAGGAGATCGTCGGGCGCCATGTTGGCTCGGGCACCTGCCTCAGCCTTGGCCAGCTCCGCCCTCGCCAAGGCCACCATGGGATGCTTATCTTGGAACATGCGGCGCATCTGACCGAGGGCCTTGAGGCACTTGGCGATGCCACCTGCGCCCGAGTCGGTGGACTCCGCGGTAGAGGCACTCGCACTGGCAGCGCCAGAAGCAGAAGCCCCATCATCAGCACCACGCGGACGAGAAGGCCTCCTGCTGCGACGCGTCGGCTGCTGCTGTCTGTCCGCGTCGATCGTGCGCTCGGTAGGCCTCCCCTCACGATCACGTCCACACACCCAGCACTCCGCGCGCGAGGGGTAGTTGGTCTTGCATCCACACTGCCTGGTCGCCTTGCAGGCCCAGACCTTGTCACCTGCGCCATGCATCACAGCTGCTGGTGGATGATATCCGTGATGTCCTGCCAGCAACTCCGGCGCAGCTCCAGCGCGCAGCAGCAGGCGGGCGCTGGCCATGTGCCGCCGAAAGCGCCGATGCCAGGCGGGGAGGAGGAGGACAACGAGGACGAGGAAGAGGACGAGGACGAGGAGGAGGAGGAGGAGGAGGAGGAGCAGGAGCAGGAGCAGGAGGAGGAGGACGCCCAAGGCTCCGCTGGCCGACCCGCCCGCCTGCTCGGCTTGAGCCAGCATGGCTGCGGAAGGGGGAAGGAGGAGGAGAAGGAGGAGGAGGAGAAGGAGGAGAAGGAGTAGGAGGAGGAGGGGGAGGAAAAATGAGAACAAGGAGAGAGTGAGGAGGAGAAGGAGAAGGGGAGGAGGAGGAGGAGGAGGAGGAGGAGGAGGAGGAGGAGCAAGAGGAGGAGGAGGAGGAAAAGGAGGGAAAGTGGAGGAGGAGGAGAAAGAGGAGAATGAGGAGAAGGAAGAGGAGGAGGAGGAGGGAGGAGGAGGAGGAGGAGGAGAAGGAGGAGAAGGAAGAGGTGGAGGAGGAGGAGGAGGAGGAGGACGACGACGACGACGAGGACGCGTACAGGACGAGGGGGGCGGCGAAGGAGGCGAGGCAGGGGGGACTAGGGTGAAGAAGAGAAGAGGGAGGTAGGAGGAGGAGGATGAGGAGAAGGAGGATGAAAAGCTGGAGGAGGAGGAGGAGAAAGAGGAGAAGGAGGAGAAGGAGGAGAAGGAGGAGAGGAGGAGGAGGAGGAGGAGGAGAAGGAAAAAGGACAAGGAGGAGAAGGAGGTAAAGGAGCAGGCGGAAGAGGAGGTGGAAAAGGAAGAGGAGGAGTAGGAGGAGGAAAGGAGGAAAACGAGGATGAGGAGGAGGAGGAAGAGGAAGAGGAGGAAAATGAGGAAAAAGGTGGAGGAAAAGGAGAAAGAGAAGAGGCTGAGGAGGTGGAGGAGGAGGAGGAGCGGCACTTATCTTCAAGGAGAGGAGGAGGAGGAGGGTGGAGGAGGGGTGAGCAGGAGGAGGGGGAGGAGAGTGGCCCCAAGCCAGAAGAAAATAGCCGATCCATGACGCGACCGCGCCCGCCACCGCGCCGGAGATGCCCAGGCGGTAGGGCCTTGGCTGATTTGCAATGTGTTCACCTGCCTGCTCCATGTCGCTGCCTCCTGCTTCCCCCGCCAACTCCTCGTCTGCCTCTTATTCCTCTTCCTCCTCCTCCTCCTCCTCCTCCTCCTCCTCTTCCACCTTGCCCTCGCACTCCACCCCCTGTTTCGCCGCGCTCCTCGGTCTTCTCCTCCGACTCCTCCTCGACCTCCTCCTCCTCCTCCTCCTCCTGCGCCTCCTCCTCCTCCTCCTTCTTCTCATCCTCCTCCTTCTCCTCCTCCTCCTCCTCCTACCTTTCTCTTTTCTTCACCCTAGTCCCCCCTGCCTCGCCTCCTCCGCCGCCCCCCTCGTCCTGTACGCGTCCTCGTCGTCGTCGTCGCCCTCCTCCTCCTCCTCCGCCTCCTCCTCCTTCTCCTCCGCCTCCTCCTCCTCTTCGTCCTCGTCTCAATCCTCTCACTACTCCCCCTCCACTTCCTCCTTCTCTGCCTCCCCTTCACACGTGTCCACCACCGCCTCCTCCTCCTCCGACTTCTCAGTACCCTGTCATGGCCACAATCACTATTTCTATGGATCTCGCCATCCATGTCTTTATCTGTACCACCATCAGAGGCACAATCGCAATCGCAACAATCATCAGCAGCATCCTCAGCATCACCATAATCACCATCACCATCACCATCACCATTACCATCACCATCACCATCATCATCATCATCATCATCATCAGCAGCATCATCATCATCATCATCATCATCATCATCATCATCATCACCATCACCATCATCATCAACATCATCATCATCATCATCATCATCATCATCATCATCATCATCACCGTCATCACTCTCGTTATAATCGCGAACCCGTGTTGATGGTTCATAATTTTCGAACGCCGTCACACAAAACATACGCAATGTGTGTCCTCCGACGCTCGTCCTCCGGCCAACACGCCCCCACACCCCAGATGTCCCAGGACAGGCCCAAAGGCCCTTTTCCTCTTCCTCCTCCTCCTTCTCCTCCTCCTTCTCGGGATGTTCCATGAAACAACCAAGAGGGCCCTGTAGGAACCCTCCAGCAAAGCCCCGGGAGGCCTAAAACATTGACGCACTTCAGGTGCTCCTGTGCTTTCGCTCGCACTGCTCTTCCGCCTGAAATGGTGGCAAGATGATTGCAGAAGACCAGAAGACGACCCCAGGGGACCTCAAGAACCCCTCGAGGTTGTCAAAGAAGACGGCCCAACGAGCTGCTTCCGCAAGGCCGTGCACGGCGACGGCAAAACCGAAGCCGACCGAACAACCGACAGCGAAACCGAAACCGGCCGTGACCGACAGGCCGAAAGCACACTAGTTAGAAGGGTGCAAAGACGCGGCAACGACACGATAACCGACCGAACCGATCCGACCGAACGCAACCGACTGCGACGCAACCGAACCGACCGAACTGCAAACACCCTTGCCTTGCCCCCTTCTCCCAAACCTCCTCGGACCCTGCCTCCTCTCGCCTCGAGTCCCCCTGCACGACCTTGACTCGGCTCTCAAGACGCGGCCGGGGCAGGGGATGCTCGGCCGATGCGCCCGCGCCGCCACTCTGGAGCATCCGTCGAGCTCTGGGCGACGGGCCTGGGCGTTGCATGATGGGGGGCGATGCAGGGGGCCGGGGAGGGGGGAAGCGTGCACCCTTCGTGCCCTTCCTGGGCCCCAGGGGGCCCAAGACCGCCTCGATGGGGCTCCGGGGCGCCCCCCCTCCCCCCCCCTCCCCCCAGGCACGACGAGGATGGGGGGGCGATTCAAACGGGAGGGGTGCGGTGGGAGGCGTGCTCCCTTCGTCCCTGAGATCCGGCATCTCGAACACATTGAAACAACGTGAACAACTGGATCGCCAGGGTCTCAGACCGCCGTCGTGCCGCCGCCGTGCGCGAAATTCGTTGTGCATCATGCGACCGCCGTCGTGCCGCCGCCCCCGCAAAGCGGTGAGAATAGGCTGGCCCACGCTCTCCGACGTATGGCATAAGTGGGAGCGTGAGGATCTCAGGGGTGCCCTTCCTGGGCCCCAGGGGGCCCCAAGACCGCCACCCCCCCAGGCACGACCAGGCGGCATCGCCGCTCCTCTCCCGGCGGTGGAACTCGGGCAGAGCCGTGGCGCCCCGGGACGGCCCTGCTGGCACCCAGCGGGCCTCCAAGAGACAACCCCCGAGCCCCCGAGAGGGCCACAGGAGGGCGAGGAGGAGTGGGGAGGGGGAGGGGGAGGGAGGAGGGATGAGGGAGTAGGAGGGAGAAGGGAGGAGGAGGGAGTAGGAGGGAGTAGGAGGGAGTAGGAGGGAGGAGGGAGGAGGGAGGAGAGAGGAGAGGTCCCAGAGATGGCCCTGACCCAGAGCCCCTCGCGTTGTGACAAGATCACGGCGGGAGGCTTTTCCCTTTTGTTCGGCCTCCGTGTGCCCCTGCCGGGCCTCGGGGCCGTAACAAAAACAACTCAGGATGAAAAGCTGGTCCAGGGAAAGGGGTCAAGACCTCTTGGGGTCAACGCTGTGAAAAAATCACGTCGGGGGTCTGGGGATAAGAATTCCTTAGCTCCCCGAACCTCACGAGTCAGCGCAACAACGATGCAGCGCTCTGGCCGCGCCAGGCTGCAGACTTTGCAGGAGAGCGTGGCAGAGTCATCATGCCTGCGTGTGAATGCTGCGTTGGCATGCTGGCGAGAGTTGCTGCAGACAGCTGGACATTCTGGCCATGGAGGGGTGCTCATTATCATAGTCACCATCGTCGTCAGCATCACAGTCATCTTCTTCGACGTCCTTGTCACCGCCTTCATCGCCATCATAATCATCATCGCCATAGCCACGGTCGTCGTTACCGTAATTATCTTCAGCATCAGCATCGTGATACCACATCATCGTTACTCGGGGCGCCGTCGCCATCATTTATCCAATCACCTCCTCACGAGGTTCTGGCTAGCTACGCTTTGGAGTGCGAGACTGCCTGCCCTCTAACTCCTCCCCTCATCCTCGAGGGCGTCAACCTCGAGGTCGTCATCCTCGAGGTCGTCATCCTCGAGGTCCTCTTCCCTCCCCTTATCCTCGAGGTCGTCATCATCCTCGTCCCCCTACGGGTTTCTCAGCCTCTCGTCCTCCCCCGACATCCGCCCCCTCCTCTCTGAGGGCGCCGCGTAGTCTGAAGCCAGTAGGGCATCTCATTGTACTCGTCCATCTCAGCGAGCTTCTCGTGAGCCTTCTCCCAGCTCACGCCGTCTACTGGGATGGCGTGAAGGATGGGGGGGGAGGGGCGGAAGGAGGAGGGGGAGCGCGAGGTGATGTTCGTCACCGATCGTTGGTCAGCGCCGAGAGCTGCGACAAGAACCCTCACTCATGAATTTCGCCTGGTAGCTTGATTGCGATCATGCGTGGCTTCCCCATAGGGTTTTCCCAGCACCGCCGATTCGGACTGGCTTCTGATTAAACTGATAGATGGGAGCTGATCAATCAATAGCCCACCCGATCCATCCTCCGATGGGGGCTCCGAGTTTTCTGGCCCCATGTAAAACGGGACTGTCAGAGCAAAGGGGGTTGAACCCCCTCAAGAAAAATGGCATCGCACTCCTTCCAAGGAGATCTTCACAATAGGGAACCCTCCCACGGCCGGACCTTAGACACAAGAGCCCCCTCCAAAAACATGAGACCCTCCGCTGGCCAAACTGAACAAATTCGAGGGTACCCTCCCCAGGATGCGCAAGAACATCCAACAAGCACGAAGAGCGTTAGGGCACCGTCCCCGAACCGACCTCGATCTTATACCTCTGGCCGACTGCAATCTTTACTCTAAGGGGTTCAGGGGGCCGTTCGGGGCGTCCCCCCCCCGTCAGCAGGGTTCTCTCTGGGGGGCCAGGCCCCCCTCTCGAAAGACCCCTGCAACCCGCCCAGTCGCTCCTTTTCCAGTGGGGTTCCACGGGGTGGGGTGGGGGGGGCGACCAACCTGTCTTGGCGATTATTTTTCTTATTTGAGGATGGGGGGTTCAAACGGGTGCGGACGGCCCCCGAATATGGGACGGACCCCAACCGACCTGGACGAATCCCGAACATTTCGGGACGGAGCGCAACCCACTTGGTCCGATCCCAGCCAACAAAATCTGAATTTGTTTGGGCACTCCCTGCAAATATTCATCATCATCTCACGACGTGCGTCAGATGTGTGACCTCTTGGGCAGACCTACGGACCCCTTCGGATTTAGAGGCCTCCTCGACGAGCTCCGAGTAGATGGGGTCGGAGGATCTCGCCTCACCCCGATGCATCGGCGACGTCGGCATTATATAGGCGACGTCGGCATGGAGAAATTCGGGGCCCCACATCGAGCCGCATCGCCGATGCATCGCCAACGCATTGGCGATGCGGCGCGACCCTCCGACCCCATCTACTCCGACCCCATCTAGGAGGCCTAGAGGACTCCAAGGTCGCCCCAAAGAGCCCCACAAGGGTACCATCAGTGCACTGAGGGTGCCCAAGTGCGTGGCGTTCCAAGGGGGGCCCCGGGGGCGGTTCGTCGGGCTACGACGCGGACAGGCAAGCTGGTCAGAGTGAGGGGACCGAACGGTCATTTCACGGTGCGGATTGTTGTTGATGCTGTTGATGTTGTTGATGTTTTGTGTTGATGATACTGCTGATGTTGTTGGTGTTGAAGTTATTGCTGTTGTTGTTGTTGTTGTTGCAGTTGGTGGTGTTGTCATTGAACTCTCACTTCTGAAGAATAATTATTGTTGATCCCCCCCCACTGGTGAATACTGGTTTTTCTCCATCAAAATGTGTCCCTCGACGCTCACACCCTGTTTTTCAATCAAAGAAAATCTTGAAGCTCAAACTGGGTCCCTGGCCCCCGGGTTACAACAACAACGGCTCCCGCCTGAGACTTCCTCACAATTTAGCCAGGACTCCCGCTCCCGCCCGAGACTTCCTTGCATTTTATTCAGGAATCGCATTCTCGCTTTGACTTCCTTACAATTTATGCAGGAATCGCTTTCCCGGCGCTCTGGGGTCGCGCTCTTGCCGGAGAATTGCTTGCAATTTACTGAATAATAGCGCCCTTGCGTCGGAATTTCGTGCGATTTGCGCAAGCGCCGCGCTCCCGACACCCAGGCACCCAGGAGTCGCGCTCACGCTTAGGACTCCCTCACAGATTTACTGGGAATCGGTGAAGAAGAAAGAAGTACTTCTGAAGATCCCATGGTTGTAATTGGTCCCATTTCTGGTTGCAATTCGCTCCGAACGGTTGGAATTGGGACTAGTCGGTTGTAATTCGTCCCATTTCGGGGGGAGGGGCGGGGGGAGGAGGAGGGAGGGGGGTTTAGGGAGAGAGGGAGGAGGGGCAGGGGAGAGAGGCAGGCCGGAGAAACGCGAGGAGCCACAACCACAGATGGCCCCCCTCCTCCTCCTCCTCCTCCTCCTCCTCCTCCTCCGCCTCCTCGCGATCCGTCTGGCTCCTATGGGCCGCCAGGCATAGCAGAACACCGAAACCCCGACACAAACTGAATCCATAGTTTCTCTGATCATGCTCGACCGTGACCTGTGAGGCCCAAGGATTCCTCAGGAAATCCTGCGGATTCCTTAGGGCATCCATGGGATGCCGGAGGAAATCCATGATATTCCATGGGTATCCATCGGATTCCTCACAACATCCGTCGGAAGATGTTCAAAAGTCCTTTTGGGATCTGTAGGACATCCATCATATGCTTTACGACATTCATCGCATTTCTTAGGACATCCTTCGGGTTCCATAGGGTGTCCATCGGATCCCTTCGGAAATCCTGAGGATTCCTTAGGACATCCTGCGAATTCCTTGCGGAACCCATCGGATCCCTTAGGACATCCAGGCCATCGGATTCTTGCGGAAATCCATCGAGTTCCTTAGGACATGTATAAGAATCCTTAGGCAATCCATGCCATTTACTTAACTCGAAATGTGGAGGCTCGGAGCTTTGGCTCGACGAGGCTGAATCAATATGGAGCGCCACCTGTAAGGCTAGCGACGCGAGCAGGGGAGGCTGGAAGAACGGTGGGTTGCTGCAGGCCCCTGGCGGTGACAGCAAAGCTTTGGGATGTGTCACTCGGCCCAGAGGTCTCCATAAAGCAGCACAGCAACGTGTTCACTTCAGCCGAAACGGCTGCGGAGGACGAGGAGAAGGAGGAGGAGGAGGAGGAGGAGGAGGAGGAGGAGGAGGAGGAGGAGGAGGAGGAGGAGGAGGGAGGAGGAGGACGCCCGCCTGGGGGGGAGGAGGGGGAGGAGGAGGAGGAGGGAGGAGGAGGAGGAGGAGGAGGAGGAGGAGGGGACGAGGCAGGAGGAGAAGGAGGACGAGGAGGAGGAGGAGGACGAGGAGGACGAGGAGGAGGACGAAGAGAACGGAGACGAGGAGACGGAGGAGGAGGAGGAGGAGGACGACGACGACGACCACGAGGAGGACGAGGAGGACGAGGAGGTGCGCGATGCCGCCCGACAGGGGGGGAGGGAAGGACGTGGCGGCCTTGCATGATCTCCCGCAGCAGGCGTTCTTTGTGTGCGGCGTGGTTGCCCAGTTGCCCTAGGATCGCCAGGTC